AGGAGAAGCAAAGCTTTTCTTGCAGCAGTGGAGTTCAGTGAGACTACAGCAGTGCAGGCCAGGGTGTTCTGTGTGGGGTGGGGGAAGAGCCCCAGGGTGGGACCATCCCAGGGCTGGGTTTCTCACACAGGTGTTTGCAGACAGGGCCCCTGGGTACCTGCCTCAGCTCTCTCAGAAGCTGTAGACACTGTGCTTTGTAAGGCTAGCTGAAGGGTGCAGATGTTTGCAGGAATGCTTCTGGAAGTTGTGAAATGTTGTTGGAATTGAAAGTGAGATGAGAAGCAAGAGGGGGTAATGTTTTGGGATGCTGTGCTAAGAACCTGAGGCTAATCAGGTGTAATGAAGTTTACGATGTCTACCTGAAGGTATTTGCAACCTAGAGTGGCAGCTGTGAGGGGCAGATTACAGCTTTCATCTTGCTTGCATGCATGAGATGTGTTCAGTGGGAGATAGGACCTGCATCCATTACTTGCTTGAGTGCCCACTCTCTGTGGGCCTCTGTGCTTTGTTTTTCTCTCAGCCCTGACTCTAACCTGAACTTTACGCTCAGCCCTAGACCAGGTCCCCCAGCCATGGCCCAGGCGAGGAGTTTCATGCAGCCCTGTTTTCTTGGCATCTTGCCTGGAGCAGGCCCTATCTAGCCCCACTCTGTGTGTGGGCCTTTGGACTGTCTCGTTCATCCTGAACCCTAGTTTTATGTTGCACTCTGAGCTAAGGGCATACATAACAGGCAAGTTCCCTTTGCTCCTATGGGAGATGGCACAACAAGGTTATCTTGATGCTTTTTCTCTGTAATGGAGGATGCAATGAGTCCTGATGCTGCTGTTGTTCCTCCTATTCCATACCAGTGGGGGATGATAGGGTCCCAACATGAAATAGGGAACTGGGTGCGACTGTCACAGCATATGTGGCCTTTGGATTGATGTGAGCCAGATTTGTATGGTTTGCCTTCTTGCCTATTGTGTTTCTTGATGGCGAGGTGAGAGGGGGGATTCAGACCATCTTCTCTCCTGAGGTCCTTGTGGATCACATTATGTATGGTTTTTAGTAAGTAAGCAAGACCCAAAACCTCCCTCCCTGCCCCCACAAAACCAAGCTGTGGCTGCACTGGATAGGCTTGAAATAGGTATAAACAAACATTAATTACTTTTCTAAGGTTCCAAGGCTCAATTTACCACTTCTTTGATAATGTCCCTGTAAGCAATGTGGCCAAACTCCAGGTCATATTAACATTGTGTTGAGAAAGTGATATGATTTTACTTGTTAAAATAACAGTCAAAAGATCATTAGTGGTAGTGGGGGTTGTGAAAGTAATCTTTCTGGTTATAGGGACACTTTTTGGAGGAGGGAAGATCAAGACTAATTTCTAGAAGTATATTTCTAGAAATATTTTTCAGAATTTTCAGGAAAATCTCACAATCAGTTGATCTTTAACTTACCCTAGTTCACAGTGTTTTTAAAGTAGAGATGGTGTTCTGCACACACTCCTTGTGTGCGTGCATGCATTCACATGGATATTCCTGCAAGACTGTTGTGGTAAAAAGCAATTGGCATTTACCGACTTTCTGCATCTGAAGCTGCTTCTTTTAGGCATTTGAACTGGTTCTCTGCACCCTGGCCCCAACTGACCTTTCATGTGCAGCTCTACATGTCCAGAGCGCAAAGGCAGCACCATTTCAAATGTAATGCCACTGGAGAGGGGTCATGGTGGAGGTTCCCCCTGCACAGGCACTTCTGTCTGCATCATGTGTGAAGCCGTTCCACATAAGTGAAGGCCCCCATCAGCTGCAGGCCTAGGGTGGGCAGCATCCTTACTTTCTATGACTTCCTTGGACTGAAAACAGGGAAAAATGGGAATCTCACCATCTTGCCTGGCCAGTGGTGTGATTGGTAGCTGGGTCTGTTTTGGCAGAGCTGCACCCACAGGTGCATACCCCCGTGTGTGTACACACGGTCTTGGATGACCTTTTTGTAGGAAGATCCTGTGGAGGAAGATGTGTGCACATATGCGTTTAAGTGGCCTGATTCATTCCACTGTGTTTTATTTGATTGGTTCCTCTCCTCTCTTTCCCGAATGCTAGGAAGGCCTTGCATTTTTCTTTGCTATGTATGTTTGCCATATGTGTTTCAGATGGCTTTGGCAGTCTTTTGAAAAGAAGGATTGAGCTTCTGTGAGTATTCTAAATTGTTTTCCCTTATAGATAAAAGTATTAAAAGATACATACTGGTGGTTGCCTGAGAAGGGCAGAGAAGGGAATGTACTCTTTTGTATCTCAGCCTTGTGTCTTGTTTTAATTATTCCGTTAGCTCTTTCATGGAATATAGGCACATGGTTGCATAAAAAAATAAACAAAGTATTCTATCTGACCATCTTCAATAAAGATGGTATTGTTTTGAATATGTTAAAAAATTTTCAATTTCCAGAGACTGTGATAAAGGAAAGGAAGTGTAATATGGCTGAGTTGTGTATGCATGCTTGCTTGCACAAAAATGAGAAAAAATACCTATAGTGTGCTTTTAGAATTTAGGGACAATTCAAGAAATCAAGATACCCTTTGGCTTCAGTGCATCCAAGCTGGAGAATGAACCTCAGGGTCTGCTCATTAAACAATTCATCTCTATTTTGGTGCCCATTCTGAAACTTCTGGCTTTCCTTTTTCACTCCCGCAGTCAGCAGATTTAAAGGTGTGTGTCTCTGTGTGTTTGAAGAAGCTATCAGATATTGGTGACAGCTGAGCTTTGAAATATTCTTTGAAACCAGCACAAAGTACATGAGGAGTGAGTCATCATGAACATTTACAGACCATACTTGCTTCATGTGTTAGTCTTCTAATACTGAGCCTGTCTGATTGAGCTGGGGAAACTCACTTCATCATCATGCTCCTCAAAAAGCAGTCCAGTCACTGAAGCAAAAGATCTGAGCAACTTTTTTTATGATGCTAGTTTTGATTAATCAATCAAATTAAGATTTTCATCTTTTCTGTCACTGCCAGAGGGGTCCAAACTAGAGCATGATTTTCACCCCTCACGAGCTTCCATGAGCATCTTCCTTTTTGTAGTTTTAGCTACTTCAGTTAGAAAACATGAGGCTGTACATTTTGAAGGTAAAACTTTCCAGTTATGATTCCTCAGCAAGGAATTGAATTGAATTGAATTGAATGCGGCAAATTATGTTTAGTCACATAGACTCAGACAAGTTTGTAATAGGAAGATATTTTTGTTCGTAGATGCTGTGTCTGCTCCAGGTGTAAACCGAACCACCAGAAGCGTGCAAAACCAAAGCTTTCTGAGCCCCGGTGTAGTTATTCTGGACAAGTTTCCAGCACGTGTGGAGAACACTACACCGTACACACATCAGGACTATAAAAAAAACAGTCGTAAGTTTCTGAACTGGCTGTTTGCATAAACCACAAACTGCTGAATTGTCAAGACAGTGGCCTCAGCTGTAACCCTCACAGCGTGGTGTGTGCTTGTGCAGCATGGGCTCTTTCTGACTTACCACAGTGGTCAATATGCTGCATCTGTGCTTTTAAGAGTGTTTGTTAGTATGTGCTACAGAACCTCTCCATATAAACTGGTGACCTTCGGCTTCAAACCTTAATCCAAAACTGGATGTTAATCACCGTCTCCCTTCTTACCTTGTAATTTCCTTTATTTTAACTCTTAAGCTTATAATTTGAACAAGGATCGTACTATGTAGGTGGCTAAGACTTGAACTTTTCTTGATTTTGATCAACCTCAGTGCGTTTTATTCATACTGTTAAAAAAGTGAAGGTGCACTTAACATGCTTAGATATATAAAAAAGTTTATTGCTGGCAAAATGTCCTTTCTTTTTTCCTTCTCAGGATTTTCAGAATGTTTTACAGAAGTCAACTTTTATTTGACTTTCTGAGCATTGGAAGAATCTCTAATACTGTTGACAGGGTTGAATGCCTGGGTGACACAAGTCTGCCAGGCCTCAGTGTCTTCAGTTCACTCTGCATGGTTCAATGTTACAAACACGTATGACAAAACTTTGCGATTTCAGACTGGAATGCCTGCTTATGTTGATTTTCTTTCAAGGTTATAGCCATGCACACAAAAATGCACGCTGTGTAATAGAAAAAATTGGTATCTATAATAATGTTACATAAAAATTAATTATAAATGTAAGAATAGGAAATAAATGGCATGGGGGCATATTTTTGTGAGAATGTACTTGCACGAGCTATGTGCAAATATGGATTTTTTTGTACTTAATCTTAGCTACTCTTTTGAATCTTTTATTACTGTTTACTTAGTAGGCTGAAGTTTTGGTCTTACTTTTTGGCTGTTAAAACTGCAGTTGCCATCACACTGTAGCTTATGTTTCCAAGGTGGGCAGCAGATACTCTGTGTGCCTTTGGGAATAGCAGAGGGCAAGGAGTGAGGGTGTGCTGGAAGGCTGCCCACAGGGTTCTGCAGTGTTAAGGGACATCAACCACTGCCGCTGCCCAGCACCTTTGGACCTGTTTGGACCTGATTTGTTAAAATAAATAGATAAAATCCCCTGAAAGCTGGTGACTGCAGAGAACAAGAAAATATGTGTCTGAGAGTAGATTTGTCTTCTGCTGACACAGTTTGGCTTCCTTTTTGTACCATGAATGTTCAATAAATTTTATTTCTCAAGGCTGTGTTTTAAGAGCACATTCCAGGTTGTGTTCCTGTTCCAGAAAGGTTTTAGTAAGGAAGCATCCTGACTGAAATTTTGGACTTCGTCCAGTGACTAAAGACCTTGTGGTGCCCAACTGGTAAAAATCCTGAAATATAAGATTATGTACTTGTATAAAAACATTGTGTTTTCTGTCATCTTACAGTCATTTGACCTTGAATTAGAGCAAGGTCTTTGCATTGAGTATCTGAAAGACATAATATAATATAAATGAATTGTTTTAAAACACGTATTATTATACTTTAATTTTTTATCAGTGCGTTAACATAAAGTTACTAAGTGTTCCTATTCTGGTTTTCTTTATTTTAGGCTTTAGTCACAGAGAAGCATGACGATTTAGACCTCTGAAGTAGGTGTGAATGGAATTGAAGGGCTTACATGGAGGATTCTGAATTCCCTTCCTTCCTGCTCCAGGAAAGACGGGTGAGTGAATTATGAGGTAATTAGTAAGTAATGCAGTCCTCACTTCAGAAGGTTTTTAGTCAAAACAGTAAGATACAATTCAGATGACTGTATGTAAGAATGGAATAAATTTCAGATACTACAGATACACCTCCTAATTACAGACGTCAGCCTTCAGTTTTCTGTTCCTGTTCCATAATAAGAGGGTTTTCATTAAAAAATAGTGTAATTTTTCTGTAAATCTCAGCCCCCTCCTACACTCACCAACTCCCTCTGATGTAGAATGTTCTATATTTGAAATGTCAAAGAAATCTGAACTGACAAAATTAATTTAGCCGTTTGTTGAAGTGGTTCTGAGTAAGGCTGTTACTGGAGAAAAGCTCAAGGTGGAGCTTTATTAGACCCCTGCACATATTTCTTAGTGAAACAGACAGGTCAGCAACAGCTCCAAATGTGGACATACTGCACCTGGGCTGCTCCCAGAGCCTGTTAGAGTGGAGGTGATATGTTAGTTCCAGTGGCTACAAATCCAGCTTGTGTGTCTTCCTGCCTCCCTCCCTTGCTATATCCCTGCCCTCAGAGGGAAAGAGAGAAACTAGGGGCCAAACCCTGTAGGAGGATAGATAGGACTTTGGGTTGTCTTTCTTTGGCTCTGACTTTGTAGATACATGAGTCCATCATTAGAAAAGGGCACATGACCTTTTTGTGGAGTTTACATATTGGCATTCTTATTACTTTCAGCTTTGTGAATACCTAGCATAATATCACCTTCAGCTACTGACCAATGAGTAAGATCTATGCTTCTTAGTACAACCTGTTCAAAGTGAGAAGATCCAATTCCTGTTAGAAAAGCACATGGTGTTGAAGCCCTGGCTTTTGGCAGGCTTCTTCTTACTTCTGCATCTATACAGGCCTACTAGGAGCATGTATGTGGTCCTGTGTATATACCAACACTGAGCAGTACATAACAGAATGAGCTTTAATTGCAGATGTTGTTGACCAGACAGGTCTTGCACCAAGATGTGATACAACAAGAAATATTTAAGAACTAGTAAAAATGAGCTCTAACACTGGTAGAGCAGCAGCAGTATCTTTGTATTAATTTAAACATTCTTGGACCTTAGATCCATTTTGGCTAAATTGTACTCAGGGCTGAAAATAGAGGCTGCACAATCCAGAGCTGCTTTGTATGACATTCTGAGTCTTTTCCTTATGTACATGGGGGCAGGCAATACCAAAAAACAAAAGAGATGGATCTGGACAGCACTCTCTGTCAGCTTGAGAGGACCAGAACTGAGATGTTACCATGCTGCCTACAACCCTGCAGCCATAGGAAATGCCTTGGGTTGGGTAGGGAGATAAGATGATGACATTATTGTGTTGAAGGTGTTAGGGACGATATCTGAGGCTTTGCCTGAAGCAGCAATCTGCAGCAGGTGTGAGTGTATGCTGGAGAGGAGCAGGCTGCAGCAAGGTACAGGAGTATCCCAGCACTTGGAGGGGGTAAAAGGGTAGACAGCAGAGCAAAGTGGGTGTCAGTGGTATGTCAAAGCATCTGGAGCTCAGTGGGTGAAGAGGGAAAACAAATGGGAATAGTAACTTGTGTGGCTTCTCCAGAACAAAGAGCGGGATGAAAGGATGCAGTAGAGAGTGAAGTGGGTGGGAATTTTTCTGTTCAGCCATGTATGCTAAACATTTTTTTTCCTCCAGAGATGTTTCTTGGTGGGCTGTACTTGAGACCAAGTATGAAAGACTCTCCCCTGCAGTTGGTGAGAGACAGAGGTGAACACAAAGTCAGGGAACCAGAAATCAGACCTTTCTGAATAAGAGGAAAGAACAAAGGGCTGAGAAATGTCCAGGCAATAATGAGAAAACAAGTATTTTGAGGGGGAGTTTCGGAAGGTAATGGGAGAGCAGGACTCTTCATTAGGAAATACATAGTGATAACAACAGCCAACTTTCTTGTTTTTGTTCACTAGTATGATGCAAATGGTAGCTCTTATTGGAGGGAGAGAAAAATCACTTTTCTCAGCAAGAAAATGGAAAAAGCTCATTAGATTTGTGTGCATGCACTGAGAATGCTTTAATATAAGTGTGGGAAAGCAACAGAAGCATTTTAATAGCACTTTCTGTGTTTTCTATTTTTTTAAGAAGGGGGTGCCTATGGCGACAAAGCTGGGTAACCATCAGCCTAAACCCCACATCTGAGTGCCTTGTGGTGCTTTCTGAAAATATGTTCTTTTTTTCCCCTATCTTTCATATACTGCCTTGCTTAGAAAAAGCCAATGTTTTAAAATTTTATTTTGAAGTTTGTCAGAAGGAAGTCTAGTTATCTGCTGGCCTGTATATTTGTTGCTTGACAGGAAGATTAAAGTGGTTGTGAATGTTTTAAAGATTCAGGCTTTGCATGAGTAGCTTTTGTCCTGCAGTGGGTAGCTGGGCTGTCACTTGGCAAGATGTGACTCCTGCCTGAAATGAGAGCAGCTCTGGGGCTGACCTAGTAGCTCAAAAACTGGCACAGACTCTCAAAACAGTGATCAGCTTGGTGAAGTAAAGACCACTTTGTGCGTGTGGATATATTCACTTTTACCTTTTTCCTACTTTTCCTTTGGCTACAGCTGTGCTTTGAAGTGTTTGTGGTGTATTTGTTTTATCGGGAGGAGACTGGAGGTATCAAAGACATGCCAGAAAAGTACTTGTTAGCCTGATCTGTCCTCATGCAGTCCCTACACATGTCATATGGAGCTGGAAGTCTCTTATTTTAGAAATTGGCTAAATATGTTAATAACATTTGCTTCCAACAGGGCACTACGTTGTCGTGGACATCCTGTTGTCTTCCTCTTTCAGCCTTTATCTAGATCAGTCTGAGGGTTTTGTGAGCTTGTTCTTGTTTCCGAGGCCCCTGGTGGTGGTAAAAGGCAGGTGCTGATGACAGAGCTGTATTATGGGCAGGTCTGGGATCCCTGGAGCCATGGCAAAGTGGAGGGAAGAGCTTGTCCAGCTGTAGCAATCCTGACCTTTCAGAGAGCATCACGCTTACCCTCTATGTACTACCCAGTTGCTGTTCCCACTCTATGGCAGGCCTAGTGCTTGAGGGGGTGACACCAAAGCAATGTGGCTGTGTGTTTGCAGTTTTCCAGTGCTGCAAGCAAGTACTGAAAACCTCCATTTATGCCTGGGAGCTTTTTGACTCCTGAACATGCTAGATAAGGGGCTTGTCCTCCATATGGATTGCCCGGCCTTGTTGCTCAGTGTCTGTTTCTAACCCTGTACATTCATTGATTTTACTTTTCTTTCCGAATGTGTCAAAATGTAGGTAAAGCAAACATTTCATTGTATCTGTAAAGATGCTGACCTAGCATCAAATGGAAGAGTATGATGAAGTGATAAATATTTCAAGCCCCTGGCCTTTTATCTGTGGTCTTTTCTTTTTTTTTTTAATGTTTCTCAAACTTAAGTGATTGAAAAGTTTTCCAGATCTGATAACAGCAGAGATTTCAAGTGAAACTTTTGGCTCCTATCCTGGTATGAGATCACACTAAGTGATATTAGCTGAATTTGTATCAGAGTTTGAAAAGAAAATGAAAACATGTTACTATTAGTCTCTCACAGCTATTTTTCAGTTCTGCTGGACAAATGTTTTCTCCTTGGTTAAGTTCTCTGTACCATTTTAAAGGTTTGCAAATACACACATGTGTTGTATATATACACGTTTTTCTTTGCTAGTATTGTATTTAATTTACACTCTTTTGATCTTTTATCCTTGCAAGAAGGATTCCTTGGATTTTATTTTAAATAGAGGTTTTAAAATCTAGTGTTGCTGAGAAAGCTCACTATAAGAGAGAGGATGTACTAAGTTTACCTGTTGTTATTCCAGAATGACCTTAAAACCACATACAGCTGGTGTATCTCTAATCTGTCTTTTTGTCTGGTTGCTGTGGTAGGTGACAGTGAAAGCAATGGTCCTTGTACATGTGTGTGTACCTAATAAGGGTAAATGTGTGCCAGCTTCGTGTAATTTATGGGCTTCCTTCTGTATAGAAATAAAATAAGATAAATAATGCCTTAAGTGAGGCACTTAGATTACTGAACAGGTCTGAACTTCAAGGTTGCAGAACCAAGCAATTGGAGGCTAGAAAAGTTACTCATTCATCCTCTTGGTAAATATTCATTTTGATTGCCTTTAATTAGAGGATTGTGTGCTTCCCCCTCCTCCCCCCACCCCCCAAGGCCTGCATATTGTTCAGCACACAGCATGGCTAATGCTTAATGAGTGGGTAGGTTGTTGATTGTTTTGTTTCTCACCATTTCTTGTATGGCTTTATTTACTGCATGGTTGGCAGATGGTGCACTGAATAAAGAACTACTTATTTCCTCGTGGAGATTTTCATGGCATTAACACCATAAAGAGTTACTTTACTGCATATTTTTCAGAGAATCTTAATCAGGAGTGCAAAATAAGACATATATGTATATTTAAACAAACTCTGAGCCTTGACAGTTAATTTTCTGGCAGGAGATAGTTACAGCACAGTTGTCTTGGTGGACAATCTAGGATGTTGTACTGCTTCCAACCCCCACTCTTCTTTTTATAGCAAAAGGCAAAGCTCACACTGGGGCACAAGGTATCTCCATAACTCAAGGAATTTGGTGAACATGGTGTAAATAGCTATAGATTCCCTCCACCCCAACAATATTTTCTTATTGCAGTTGTTTGTTTTATAATAGAACAGAGACTTTCACATATTGGTAATCCTCTTCTGTAATCAAAGGAATGGGTATTCTGTCCAGCAAGTTTAGAGTACTTGCTCAGCAACGTGCTCTCCAGCATTCAGTGCATATTTAAGAACTGATGGAAATGACCAAAACTTCAAAACCTACTATAAGCTACAGGAAGAAAACACCTTCATCTGGTTTCTCTCTTGGGAGATTGTAAGCTCTTCAGGCTGGAGACTGTGCCTTCCCATATGTTGATAGAGTATT